CATAGTTGCATATTCATTCAGTTTATTCCTCCATTCCAAGTCTGGACAATTCACTGCTTTCCATTTGCCACAAACATTACTCTTGCCACTATCATCATATACTGAAATAATTCACTGTGTATTTTTGTTATATTGCATACTTTTTGGATCTATTGCACACTTTAAATTTTAATATTATTTACATTTCTTCATGTATCTCTATCCAATATTTTATTGCACGTCTACCAGATATAATACAATGTTGCATCTGTATTCTGACATTTCTAGCCCTTCTAATCTTTATTTGCTTTTGCTGTAACTTTAGGGGTAATATGGAGCTGTGGTGGCTCAAGTGGTTAAGACACTGAACTGCAGGCTGTGGAAGGTCGGTAGTTCAGCAGTTCGAGACCTGAGTGTGCTGCATGACCGAGTGAACTCCCATCTCTAGTTCCAGCTCCTGCCAACCTAGCCGCTCGAAAGCAAGAAATTGCAAGTAGATAAATAGGTACCACTTCAGTGGGAAGGTAACAGCGTTCCGTGCACCTTGGTGTTTAGTCACATGACCACAGAAATGTCTTCAGACAGCGCTGGCTCTTCAGCTTTGAAACAGAGATGAGCACGGCAACCCTAGAGTCGGATTCGACTGGCTTTCAAGCAAGGGAACCTTTGCCTTTACCTTTGTAGGGGTAATATACCATCTAAAGAACATTTTATACCCGTTCTCACTTAGTATTTCACATTCAGTAAACTTAATTTCTTTGACCAGAGATTTTCCCACTGACTCTCACATATATTTTCTCCAAAATTTTGTATCCATTTTACCATGCAATTTTTACTTGCTCTGTTTCAGTGTCATACTGCAATGATATTTTATAATTTTTCCTAATAGATGTCTCGAATCTCTGATGATTAATTGTTCAAAAATAATTTTCTTTCTTAGTTGTCCCCATCTTTAATTATTTGTTCTTTCAATTTTAATACCATTAGATTAAAATAACTGGAATGTTTTTTCCTACATCTTGAACTGTTTGCCAGAGTTATATGTTTCCTTATTTGTCCATCATATTCTCATATCATCTATTTTCTTTCTTGTATTATTGTCACAGTAAACATCAACAGGGAATGTCAATGACGACTCAGGTTGGCAGACTTATTCTATTTCTGCATTGAAACCATATTCTTAATAGGCCATTTCTCAAAATATTATTGCCGTATTTTAGTCCAAAACCCTGTTTTTAGTGATTTCTTGATCATAAACACTTGTGCTTTCCTTCTTTAGTATCGATTGCCTCCAATTTAACATTCCTTTGATTTGAATTTGTAATCCAGTCTGATACCCAGACTAGTGTAGCTGCTTGGCGATACAATTTAATATTTGGTATAGCTAAAACTCTTCTTCTTTTTTTGTCCTGAAATACGTTAAATCTTATTCTTGGCTTCTTTCCACTCCTTACAAAATTATTTATTGTTCTCTGCCATTTTTTAGAATCTTTTCATCTATATAAACTGGTAACATTTGAAACAAAAAAGTCAACTCTGGTAATATATTCATTTTGATTGCGGAAATTCTTCCTAGCCATAAAATTTTCACCTATCCCATCTTTGTAAATCTTCACTAATATTTGCCCAGACTTTTTGATAATTATCTTTATAGAGATTATCATTTTGTCCTGTTACATATATTCCCAAATACTTTATTGGTTTTTTAGTGACCACACATTCGAATTTTTTCTCTCTTCTTCTGCTCTAGTTGCTGCAAATAAGATTGTTTGTCTTCTTTTTATTTAATGTATATCCAGGAAAAAATCTGAACCTATTTATTTATATTTTAAATTTATGAATCGCCCAATCCTTGTATGGACAAGGCTCTGGACCTTGTACAACAAAAGTTAAAAATATCAAACAAGAAAAGTTAAAATAAATAACATTTCTTACATTCTTAAAATAATCTCAGATGGTTACTAATCTGTGTTTAAACCCATTCCAGACTGTGTTACCGCCTTGTAGGTGGGGTAAAGAGGAAGCTGAAGCAAGGGAGATGGTAGAAAAGTGGGAGGGTGCCAACCGTGATGGAAAACTGTCACTGCTCTCAACCAAAAGCCTGGCAGAACATCTTTGCCTTACAGGCCCTGAAAAACTGCATTAAACCCCACAGGGCCCTGATGGTATTTGGCAGAGAAAGTCCTGGCTCTGGTCGAGGACAGCCAGTTATCTTTGGGGCCAGTGATCACCAGTAAGTTGTTCTCAATGGAGTGTAATGCTTTCCTGGGAACATACCAGAGAAGGTGGTCCCGAAGATACATGGGTCCCAGACCGCTCAAAGCCTTGAAGGTCAATACCAAAACTTGGGGATGCCCAGGTGTGCAGAAACACCTGAAAAATTACAAACTGAAAGAGTGAAATGCCCCCAAAGAGCAGCCTTATCTGTATTTGTGCAGACCACATGTCTTCACTGGCCTGCTGACACGTGTAGTGGCTGCATATGGGAGATGAAGGAGGTGGATAGGTGATAACAGTGCAGCAGGTGGGATGGGGAAGGAGAAAGGGAGCTGCTGCTGTTCTATGGTACAATGGATGCAGTTATAGAATCATATTTTAAAAATTCTACCATTTTGTAATGCTCCCCTACTACAATGGCCAAAGGGCTCAAAATATCTTCTCTCCATTATACCAGCCTTTTGTTTGCACTGAGTATTTCACATAGGAAAATATTCAAACATAACCTACACCTATGCAGAGCCAACTCTACCCAGTGATTATCAAGTGGCAGGCTGTGACTCAGTGGCCAGTCAGATACAGGTACTCCTTAAATGGGAGAGGGCTGTTCCTGCATGAGGACTGCTGGAATGCCATCAAGTAAAAGTCTCAGTTACTAGTATAAGCAACAAAACATCTGCCATAGAGATACAAAGAGTGTTTTACAGGAGCTCACATTCACCCAAGCAACCCTGTGAGACTGGGGTTACCAGCCTCCAGGATGGGCATGGAGGTGTCTCAGACTTACAACCAATCTCCAGGACTACAGCAATCAGTTCCCCTGGAGAAAATAGCCATTTAGAAGGTGGGATCTGGCACTATACTCTGGAGAGGGTATATGCTAAACCCCACCATCCCCAGGCTCCACACTCCCAAAATCTCCAGGAATTTCCCAACCTGGAGTTGACAACCCATTTACTTTATTTATTGTATTTATGAATCGCCCAATCCCTGCCACAGCAGGGCTCTGCGCAATGTACAAAAGCCATAAAACAAAGACAAGATAAAACCAATTAGAACATTAATAACACATTTCAACAATCAGATGGCAAATAATTAATCCCAATTCCAACTGCTGCAGGGGGGAAGAGAGTGAGGTAGATGTAAACAACAGAGAAGGGTGTCAGACAAGATGGAACCATAGATGTCCTCAACCAAAAGCCTGGTGGGACATCTCTGCATACAGGCCCTGTGGAACTGCACCAGTTCCTGCAGGGCCCTGGTGGTGCTTGGCAGAGAGGTTCCACCAGGTTGGGGCCAGAACTGAAAAGGCCCTGGCCCTGGTTGAGGACAGTCAGATGTCTTTGGGGCCATGGACCATCAGCAGATTGCTATCTAAGGAGCACAGCACTCTCCTGGGGACATAACGAAGGAGATGGTCCCATAGATATGTTGGTCACGGCCTTATAGGTCAATACCAAAACTCTGAACAATGTGTTGCAGATGATTTTACAGACAAAAAACATGGTCTGAAATAGTTACTTAAAGAAGGGCATGCAGCAAGCTGACTGCCGAAAATGAGATGTAAATCAGTTTTGTGTTGCAAAACTAATCCTATTCTAGTGGTCATCACTAGTTGCACTCCATTTCATTATTGCTGCAAGTTTTCTTCAAACAGGCTTAAGCCCAATTTAAACACCATACTGGTGAGGCAAAGAATTGCTTTGTGTAACTTTGCACAGGTGAAGTGTCTCATTTAAACTGTGCTGCAATTCATCCAAAGTTTGTTTGCATGCTAGAGATTCAGTATTGTGTTGTGTGCTAACTAAGCACACATAGATACTTTACATAGGTGGCAGCACAGCCCATGCAAAGTCACCATAATGACATAAACCAGCTGTGAAATCTATCTAGTGATGCTCATACAGCTACTGCAAGGAGGAGGATGAGATTGGATTTATACCCTGCCCTTCACTACCCAAAGGAGTCTCAGAGCGGCTTACAAACTCCTTTCCCTTCCCCTCCCCACAACAGACACCCTGTGAGTTAGGTGGGACTGAGAGAGCTCTTTCAAGAACTGCCCTTTCAAGGACACCTCTTCTCAGAACTATGGTTTACCCAAGGCCATTCAGCAGCTGCAAGTGGAGCAGTGGGGAATCAAACCCGGTTCTCCCAGATGAGAGTTCGCACACTTAACCACTATTTTCATTTTCTCTTCAATAGTTCACACCATCTCAATGATCTTAAGGTGTTATATGTTTGAGATAGGGCTAGGTTCCCTAGATGAAAGGCGAGAGATGTCTAGGCATAATAGTAATTGTACTGGATAGTGATCACCCCCCCCCCAAATAACTTTTTACTTCCAGGGATTCAAGTCTTTTGAATAAATCAACAGACGCAACAAAATAATCTACTACACTTGCCCTTCTGCCTGCAGGACAAAAATATCTGAAAGAATTAAAATAGTAAAAACAAATATTGTTTGCTTCACTGTAAGGAGCTGGAGAAGATACATGAACATTTAGAGCCAAATACTATCAGGTAAGCAGCCAAGAAACAATTCATGGTATCTGGATAATGTCAGATGTTTATAACCAGAATGCAAAGCAACTATGTACACATTGGCCAGAAACAAGCACTCTAATTACAGGAATCAAGGTCTCATGCTTACCTCTGATCAAATTAATTTAGCTGCAACTTTTGACCAGAACCATTACACATGCCTGTTTTGAGTAGAAACTGATTCACAAACATGCTTGTAAAGAGAAAACACAATATGATCATTTATAGAATCATACAGAATATGATCATTTACGGAATCATACCTTGCAGCTGATCATTTCTTCCACTCTTTCTTGGGACATCTTCCCTGCTTTGTGTCTCACCAGCACATAAACTGCTTTTACTTTTGGACAAGACCTTAACAGCTTTTCAAGAAGAACCTTTCCCATGAAACCAGTAGCTCCTGTGAGAAGGACATTCTTGCCTTCATAGTATTCTGGAATTGATACCATCATGACCTTAAAAGAATTTAAAAGCAGATTAGGGTTTATATCCACATGTGTTCCATATAACATTTTATCTTCCCCAAATTTTTAAATGGCTGTGATCAAGCACCTTTTTTTTTTTTGCGCAAGTGCTATATCATCATAAATAAAACCACAGGGTTGGTTTAAGAGAAATAATCTTGCTGCTGTTTACTATTCCGGGGGGGGGACGACACTTCAAATCCACAAACACACATGTATAAGATACAGACTGTATTAACAAGTTGTATGAACAAACATGTGTAAAGGAGAAGTGAACTGAAAATTTGCATTAATCACTACGCCATTAAGAACCCAGAAGTGGATTTAATGCCTGGACAAAGTGCCTTAGTATAAAATACTGACGTTGTATCAGAAGAATGGATAAACTCTGAACTATGGCAGAAATAAATCATAGTGGATTTGATCAAGTGAAAGAAATTGCATTTTTCTATTTCAAATGAAGAACTTATATGACACTGGCATAATCATGAATTTACCTACAATTATAAAAGGGCATAACTGTGTTATTTGGGAGAGGCAAATTTTCTGAGAACAAATTATAATCTTTATAGTCCATCAAAATATGCCACATTGCCATTATAGAAGCTGAACAGGCTTTTGGTTGAGGTGGCGGGCGTGTCACCTCTTTGTGGCCAACCCTACCAGCAGCCTGGATCCTAACATCTTAAAATCTTCCACTACTGTTGATATGGTTCTATCAGAGCTGACATGGTACTTAGGAGTATAGTATTTTATACTGTTGTTTTAAATCTGGCTTTAACTTTGTATTTTACACCGTTGTTATCCGCCCTGAGCCTGCCCACGGGGGGTGGGATATAAATTCAAATAAATACATTTTAGAAAATTTAGACTGCTCAGAACTATAACCTTTTTAATTACACTGAACCCTGGATGCCTATGAACCAAGCACTAGAAACTCCCTAAAGTTCAAATAATTACAAAGCATAGGAAACCATATTCTAAGCATGCAAAGCATTTTGCAATCTTGTCAGTAATACTCAAGACACAGGGTGCTTCAGGAAAAGACAGGGAACACATTCTTTCAGTTGCTCAAAAATGAAGTAGATTCTTTACCTATGTGCTACCACTGACATATTTTCAGTTGAATAAAAAATAACCAAGCAGCATGTTTCCTCAGCAGAAGAATATCACTGAAAACATTCATCCGCAGAGTTCATTTCCCTATAGCAATTTTCCTAGCTATTCCTCCATGCTATTATTCTATGGAAAAAAAGGTTTTGGAGAAAAAGTTTTGAAAATCAGCCCTATAGTTTAGTTTAACATTAACCCTTCTGTTTGCTGGCGCTTCAGAATGTTGTTGACCTAGACTGCAATTATGCTTACAGCTTTATCAGTGTCAACTCAGTCTATACATGTTAATTTCTATCTTAAATTATAATTACAAAACTAGTAGTGCAAATGAAGCTCCTGGCAAACCGTCTCTGCTCATCTCTTGCTTGGAATGCCCTGAGATTGGGGTCTCCATGAGTCAATTGCAATGTGAAGGCACACTGCTGTTCTTGTCCTTCTTGGTTAATGGGCAAAGGGCTAGCATGTCAATAAATGCTCTACTGTCACCTGTACCTTACTGGTTATTTAACTGCAACAATTGTTTATAAAATGCAGGAATGCAACCTCAGCTTCTATAACATATGAATGATTATCTAGAAGCCAAGATGCAACTTTTGACAAAGTCCAATTTCATGTCTGCATGTTAATTCACGTACAGCTGAGGTATGGACAGAGCTCTCTCAATACGTATATAATGTTAAGATCTGATGTTAGAAGTATACTGAAGTTACAGCCTCCTGTGCCTATGAAGACTTGACACCTTATCAGAGCCAAACTAAATAAGGCCGGTAGCAGATCAATGATAGAAGGTTAATTGTGTACTCCATCAGATAAAGGCCATAGCTTGTAGAAAAGTTATCCATTTAAATCAAAAGAGCTGCATGAAAAGAATTTATCCCTCCCAAAAGTTGCTTTTTGCCTTCAAAAAATCCCACCATAGATCTGCTAATGCCTGGTCTATTGATCTTTTCAATTAAAAATATACTAGTTCAGAATGAAGAAGTTCAAGCTTGATATACTGTGTCACTATGCCTAAGATCTACACAGTTACATGAGAAACTATTTCTTCTCATTAAGGCAGGCTAGCATTGCAACACACATTACATACAAAGAGTTCTCAAAGCTGGCAGCATGAAGTGGTCAGCTGGCAACCTTTACATGTATGGAGCAGTGTTCACTCTAAGCAGAGTTAGTGTGAGACAGCTCATAGTTTTTTAGCCTCTAGCTCACATATTTTTGTCTTAGCTCAGGAAGGATGGCTCCAGAGCAAACTGATTCATGCAGTAGCCAAATTGCTCACTCAGAGCTTTAATGCCAGTAACTTACAAAAGTAGAATTTTTGCTCATAAGACTCCACAGCATAGAGGGAGCATTGATGTGGAGGCTTGTGGAAGTGATCTCTAGTACATGACCAGACTGTTATAAATCTCACCATATCACCATATCTCAAAGCGCAAATTATCCAAAGTCTTAAACTCCAGCCAACTGATATTTCTGAAATTGGGCCTGAAAGCCTACTTCCCATCCATTAATGCATCTGTGTTTGTGTGTGTGCACCAACAAAAACTCATACCTCTAGTGGGAATAAATATGTGCTAGCCTTTCTTGATGATCACTAAAGATACATTGTGACCTACCTAATTAAAGAGAAAAGTCAATTGCTGGAAAAATTTAAAGCATATGTGGCAATGGCCAATAACAGATTCCAAAGAAAGCCACTAGCAATCTACACTAATAGAGGGGAATACACGGGTCATGAGATAACAAATTATTTGACTGAACAAAGAATAGGGCATCAGCTTATAGTCTCATACACTCCAGAGCAAACTGGTGTAGCAGAAAGGAAATATTGCTCTTACTGAAACATCTAGATGTACACTCAAGGCAGAGCTACCTGACAAGAACTAGGGAGAAGGAATCAACACTGCCGCCTACCTGTAGGAGTACCTATTAAAGGTGCAAGTACTATACACCATTTGAGCTGTGGTATTCGCACAAACCCAGCCTGAATCACCTAAGAGTGTTTGGATCAAAAGCCTACATTTATATTCCCAAAGAAAAGCAGACCAAGTGTAACAGCTATCAGGATTTAAACAATCCAAAGGTAAGGAACTTGTGTGTAAACTGCAAAAGAGCATCCACAAGCTGAAACTGGCTGCAAGACGTTAGAATGAGAAACTTTATCAAATGCTAACCAAGGAAGGATTTCAGTAAGGCAAGGTGGAACATTGCCTATACTCAAGATATAAAGACAATAAATAAACTTATATTCTGACTTCTGTGAATGACCTGGTTGTATGCTATGAAGAGAAGGAAGACTATGATGAAATAGCTGAACATCTGAATCAAGAAGTAGAAGTGCATCAATCAGGAAACATCAACTTCTATCTTGGAATACAAACAGAACAGAAGAAGCCATAAGCTATATCCTCAATCAGAAGCAGAAAACCCAAGAATTTCTAGACTACATGAACATGAAAGGAGCTAAACCAGAAAGCACTCCTGTGGGAATGAACTACCTGAACCAGCAAGGAAGTAGTGAACTTCTGCACAACAACAAGCATTACAGAGAAGCTTTTGGAAAACTTCTTTCCATAAGCACATCAATGCATGCTGACATCATAGCAGCTGTGGACATGTTATACAGAAAGATTGAATCACCGAGCAAAAGGGATTGGAATGCTGTCAAAAGACTTGCAAAGTACCTGCTTGGCATGGCACATCTGAAACTAAAGTTATCAACAAGCAACAAGCCCAGACTAGTGGGATACATGGATACAGACTGAGCAGGAGATACTACAGACAGAAGGTCAACCAGTGAACATGTATACTTCTATGACAACAGGTGGAGTAGCAGGAAACAAGAAACTGTAGCTGTGTCCTCAACTAAAGCTGAATATGTATCCACAGCAAAAGCATGAAACTGATACTGCAACTAATACTGGTTTGGGATAGAGGAACCCAAACCAGTACAACTCTTTGAAGACAACCAAGGATGCATAAAACTTGCACAGATGGAGAAGATCAACTCACAACCTAAACACACGGATATGAAGCATCACCTAGTAATAAAGATGCAAGAATGGCTTGTTGAGTTGCAATACTGTTCTACAGATGAAATGACTGCAGGCACACTCGCCAAGCCACTTTTGAGAAAAGTTGGAAAGGCTATGTAAGAAGATTAACTCTGGACTCTGTACACTAGAACTTGAGAAGAGGTGCTGGAATAGGCAATGTCTGGTGTACAAAGAAGACCCTGCAGGGGGCAGCAAGAATACAATTAAACAGGAAAGGACAGGGGTGTCAAACATGCGGCCTGGAGACTGGATTACGCCCCCGGATGCCCACAGTGGAACTGGCTGTGTTCTGCTTCTTCTTCCAGTTCTGCTGCTGCATCATCATTATAGGTTTGCAGCTTACAGATACACACCTAACAGCATACTCAAGATTGCAGCAGCACAGAAATTTTGATGCAGTAATTCAGAGCAAGAGGTGGAGGAGGAGGAGGAGGAGATTGGATTTATACCCCGCTATTCACTACCCAAAAGATTCTCAGAGCGGCTTACAAACTCCTTTCCCTTCCCCTCCCCACAACAGACACCCTGTGAGGTAGGTGGGGCTGGGAGAGCTGACAGAAATTGCTCTTTTTCAAAAACAGAACTATGGCTTGCCCAAGCAGGTGCAAGTGGAGGAGTGGGGTTCTCCCAGATTAGAGTCCGCACACTTAACCACTACACCAAAATGGTGTCAGTTATCAGACACAGTTAAATAAACAAAATACTGCAAGAGTGCTAATGTTTTAAGCATGTTTTTATTTTAAGTAAAAAAAACACCTTTGTGTTTGTGTCCTTTATAAAGTTTATATCTCCACTACCTGGCATTACATTTTATGACACACA